TCAATAGCATAAATTAATGATTCCTTCGTATCAAAAACTGGTACTCAATCTAAGAAAATATATCAAAGAATGAATTTGGACATGGTAGAATGAAACTGTAAAACAAGTGTAACATCAAATCGATCAATATAGAAATACTATCCCTGGCAAGATGTACTGTACATTTTCTGTCACTTTTCTTCTGCCTTCTATGAAGAATCGTGCTGTATCGCGATCTGGGATCGACAGCTACGCGCATGCGCCAAATAAAGAGACGATCGATGAGACGAGTGACACCGCCCCATGTCTTTTCCGATCTTCTCCAGCACTTATTTTTGTCACGGCTGTATCGATTTTATGGAGCCTGTCGTCGATCTAGTGACTCTCGCTCTCCTTTCCCGGACCTTCACTTGCACTTACCCCGCCATCTTCCTGCTCATAAGGATCGTGGAGCAGGTGATATGAGAGGGCCAAGTATGCAGATGAAGAACCACATAATATGAGATATGATGCAATTACCTATAATTCAGCATAGTTTGAATAGTTCATTTTATTTTTCCGCTAACGCTATTTTTTCTTGATTTCAAGATACATTGTGGATGAGCAGCTGCATGAGTACCAAAATTTACAATTAGTACCTAGTCAAATATGATAATGAAAGTAATGAAAACATTTTACAAAAGAGTGCTATCCAAATAATAGTCTAAAAAATACATTCATCATTGATATTAACTATCTAATTATAAAAATATTTATTTTTAACGATGAATTTCTTCAGATCTTTGTAATATACCTAACATATCACGTTGGTTTATATATATATTTTAAATAACCTTTTTGACATTTAAATTTAGTGTAATATAAATAAACTTTAATCCATGTCTAAAATATGTACAGATATTGAGTAGTTATTTAACTTGTTATTTTTTCATTTTGAAACAATAAATTGATCTATACGAAAAAGTAAAAATCTTCACAATTTTAAAATTTAATTCTAATACAATGTTAAAGCAGAATCAGAATAAATAAAACACTTAAATATGACAATAATTTAACTAGATTGTTCGTTTTTATCTTAAAAGCAATATTGTGATTTTTGATGAAGAAAAGATAACGAAATGAAACAATTGGTTAAGAAAATAAAAGAATGCAAAACTAGTTGACAATAAAAAAAAATTAAATTTAGATAAACAAAATATTTTTAATTTGACTCAAACTATTAAAACTTTTTTTTATAAATTGAAGAGTATTAGATTATTTTTCTTTTTTTTAGATTATACCTTTTTTTTATTAATTGAAGAGTATAAAAATGAATATAATAAACAATAAATATCTATACAATAAAAATGAAGAGTTTGAACACTATTTATTACAAATGTAAAAAAGAAAAATCATATAAATTCATCAATCTTTGTGAAACAATATATATATAAATATAATTCAATTGATATTTTTATGATTATGTCTTATTTATATACTATAAAGCACATTTTCAATTATAATATATGTTTATAATATATTTATAATTTATTTGTTTCAAAGTACTCGGCAGATCGCGATTCTATCACATATATTCACACTGAAAATTAGTTTAAAATCCGATTGAATCAAAGAAAATAATGTTTATAAAATAAAACACAAAGAATCAATATTTATTATAAAGTAAACATAGATGAATTGAATTAAAATATTTCGTATCACTGAAAAATACTTTCTTCAAGAATTTTATAAAAACTTAATATAAAAGTATATTATTCTAAAAATAAAATTATTATAAAAATAAAAAACATGATATAATTTTGTTAATATAATAAAATTTTATACTAATTGTTTATTGAATCGCCAAATTTAGTATCAAATATAGTGTTTTTAATCACATATTTTTTTATATAATTTATTTTTTTCAAAAATGAATAAGATTTGATAAGGCTTAAACGTATAACAAAATTATGTTTTTAATTTTTTTCACTCTACATTTTATTAATTCTATTTATCATAATTTTTCAATAACATAAGTTACTATTAAGTTACAATTGATATATTATATACATTATATACATATTATATACAGTTAACATAAGTTATAATTGATAAAGTTTTTATAAAAAAGCACATAAATGAAATATATAATAATATGCAATTATTCCAGTCATTATAACACACACGCATTATATAATATACACACAGTGTATAATATATATACACATTATATACGCAATATAAATATTATAATGTTTAATTTGTTCTATAAAATTTGCACTATTAAAAAAAATATTATTACTGATTTTTTTATTCTGAAGCATTTAAAATAAAATTATATACTTAATTATTTTTCTGTTTAAATCTGTATATCCGGCTTTAATAAATGAAAGATAATTCAAATAAAAATTGATCATGAAAATAAAAATTTTTAAAATACATGGTATATGAATATGAACATAATATTTTTTGTAATATAATCGAAGAAATTTTAGCCAATAGTGAGGAAAAATGTGGATTTAAAAGGTTGATAATATTATGCATATTAAAACGTACAAATCATTTTTGATCTATTTTTCTTCTTTTCAAAAAGGTAAGCATAATATGGTTTCGCTTATAATTAACAGAATCAAAGTGTATCAATTTATCAACTGTAAAATCAGCAATACAACATTCATGGTTAACATAATTTTTGCTATTACTATTTGAAATGTCTAATACTTAAGAACATTTTTAAAAGACACAACACGACACATATTTCTGCCTATATTGATAAAAAAATTTGGTATTAATATAAAGAGTTCAGACGTGCTACACAATCTTTTGATTTCACAATATTATACTAAAAATAATATATTTAACATAAAAAAAGGATAACTTTTACATTATCTTCGTATAAACTAAGTTTGGATTATTAAAAAAAGTATTTATCTACTTTTACTGCATAATCTTCAATATTCATGGTATGTCAAAAACAATTGTAATGTAAACAATATTTCAATATATATAAAATACGATAATATGTGTATTTTTAACATTGGAAACAATTTTCAAAATTTATCAAATAACTTTTGAAAATTGCATTATTTGCACAATTTTATACTCTGTTATTTCATTGCATAATGTAAAATTACGAGTATACGAACGTACCTATAAGTGCGTATCTACCTTTCTTTGCATGGCATAAAGTAACAGAATAATAATAGGCTTAAATCTAAGTAAAAGATTAAATAGAATGATCCGAGTATAAATTTAAAAAACCAAATTGAATAAGTTGTAATACTATAAATTAATAACTTATAAAGAAAAATATATATACAAATGACCTTTACAAATCTCTAAACCTATGTTTCAGAATATTCAAATATTGACTTCAGAATGTAACGCAATAATTCATAAATATACCTTCATGTGAAGAATATTTTAACTTGTTCTGTGTACATAGAAATTCATTCTAAAATTAAAATTAACTATCCAGTTTCAGATTATTCAAGTAATATCATAACATTAAAATATTAATAATGTCTAAATGATTTTATTTCATAATAATCGTACTTCAAAATAATTTGACGTGACACTGATAGTATACATTCAACATAGACGAAAGATAAAATTGCCAATGACATTATGCTAATTAAATGTAGCTATTAATTGTTTAAAATAAAACAAAAATTATTACAGGTTAACGTACTATTATAACGTTTAAAAAAATCTAGTATTTATAAATTAAAAATTTTTTTATTATATTTACATTTTATATTATATATACATAGTTACAATCATTTAATAAAATTCCATTTTTAATATGGAACATAATTGATTAATAATCAATATTATCATTATATTAATAAAATACTTGGAAAGAAAAAAATAATAGAATTTATAAAACTATAGGAATTGAAATAAAGATTTATTTATGAGTATTTTAAGATTATAATATCTTATTTAATTATTCATGCAATGATTCAATTCTGTTTTCAAGGTTTATATCATGTATTCATTCAGTTGAATTTGTTTATTATAATAATTTTATAAATATATATGAGAGGTAAGAATAAAGCATTTTCACTTAAACAGCATTGAAGATCAAATTATTAGAAATAAATTAAATAATTTTAGAAAATTGTATTATGAATGTAAAGTTTGAGAAATTAAGTAAATTGTAATGAATTGGCATATTTAAATTTTCTTAAAAATCGTTAATTATAAAGTCTTAAGATTCTCGAATAGTGGATTAATCCGTTTGATTAAATTAAATAATTTAAATGTATTACAGAAAATATAGTTTGCATTGTGTGTATATTTCAATATAATTATTAATTAAAGTTATTTTAGAAAGAAATTACAAAGTACCGAGAAGCTTCTTAGATGAATAAGCTTGTGCGATAAATATATTTTATAGCCGTAAGTTATAGTTCAATTTGATCATCAACATGTTAATCGAAGAACACTTCAATTAAAATGAATCAATTAGTTAAAAAATTAATTATAGTTAATCAAAGTTTTATTATTAAATTCGCATCCAAGAAGTTGTTTGTGTTGAATATTTATGAAAATACAATGTTAATTAAAAATGTAATCCTAGAGAAATACTGAAGTGCAATATATGGATTCGATCTAAGAAGTGGTGGGAGAGAAATTTTGCTCTTGAGTTAAGGAAGATTGGAGAGGTCGGGGGTTGCTGTTGCGAGCGTCCCGCTCTCCAGCTCCCCATCAATCAAGTTCCTTGATCGTGATTAATCAGCATCATTCTCCCGTCAGAAAAGAAAAGCATGGAAAATCGATGTCTGTCGAGAAAAAGCCCAGTTTCCGGTGTCGATAAACTGTTCTTCAATAAAAACATTTATCCAAAGTTGATTCTTGTAGTGCGTTGAAAACTTACAGGACTATTCAGGCTGCAGCTTCTACGTCTACTCCTACTTTTTTTTATTACGTGGCAACTGCTGCTTCTGTTGTTATTATTATTATTATTATTATTGTTATTGTTGTTCTTGTTGCTGCTGCTGCTACTGCTGTTACTGCTGCTGCTGCTGCTACTGCTGCTGCTGCTGCTCTGACGCACATGCGCGCTCGGAGCCTCTCCTGCTCCGCGCGCGGCTTGCAGCTCGGCCGCCACCGATTTCGATTTTAGTCGTGGCCGGGTCCGGCTCGGGGGAAGAAATCGTTCTGTGACGTCTTGTGCACGCGTCAACGCCCTGCACACCCGCGCTGTGTCTTACCCGAAACGCCGATCGTCATCAAGAATTGTAAGTGTCCACAAGTGCGACGCAAGGCCGAGGAAGCTGGAAGTGCCCGAGTGAAAGGAACAAATCGTTTGATTGCGTGAGCTCCTGAACCGGTGTCGTAGCCAGAGCAGCCGTCGCCGGTTCATCTCGGTCATGCTTCTTAATTCTTAGTCGCACGCACAAACTGGAGTAAGCAAGAGAGCCTGTTCGTCCGGGAATGAGGGTGGGCGGGCGGAATGATTGGTGAGAGGGTGGGAGAGGCAGAAACGGATAGAATGAAGAAAGGAAGGGAAGAAAGAAATAAAGAAAGGTGGAACACCTGGAAAATCGATCGCGCTAGTGACACAACGGTTCTCGATTTCCCGGACCGAGCGCCCGAGAAGTATATGACCGGAGACGCGCGCACGCACCCGTTTTTGCTCGTACGTGCATATGTGTGCGTCAGTGGCGCGTCATAAAAGGGGAGGGACAGGAACGATGGCGCGCGCGAGAGAAAGAGACAGACGGTCCTGAGAGCCTGCGTATGTCCCGAGATCGGTCGATATACACGTCGAGACGCGCGCGCGTATATATGCGCGCTGCGATACACTGGCCGAGAATTTCAGTCGTCGTGCGCGTCACTCCTGAGCTCCGTGGCTCGGACGATCGTCGCAATCGCCGACGCCACCGTCGCCACCATCGCCGCCGCCGCCGCCGTTGCCGCCATCGAACTCCAAGAGGCGCAACAACTCGCGCATCCACGTCACCACGGGAAAACTCCGAAGTATCCGTGGAATATTATTGCTGGTGCGCGGTAATGTTGAGACCACGCGTACAAGCGCCGAGATCAGGAAAAAGCCGGCCAACACCGTCTCTCTCTCCTATGCTCGCGCACCCGACCTGATAAGGTGGAAAAATAGAGGTCGACGGAGCGCGGCGTCAAGGGGGAAATGCCCAAGGAGACTACCTAAACTTCTACACGTGTGTGTGCGCTCGCCCCTGTCCACCCGCCCGCCTACTTTTTGCCGATAACGATTATTCGCCCTCTCGCTCATCTCGCGCAAACGCACCTTTTTCCTGCGCCTTTTCTAACTACGTGTGATATAAATATAATAGCTTACTCCAGCCGGATGAGGAAGTGTGACACGGTGTCGAGCCACGGGTTCGACTTACAATTTCCGAGCCCGAGACTAATCTCGTCTTCTTTTACCGAAGTTACGTTGTATCGTTGATTGAACTGCGTGGCTGAACATTTGCGTAAACAATTTTATCGTGCGGTTTTCGAGTAATAATCCTCAAGTTCAATTTATTGTTCGTCTTATTTTATTTTTATCCTTTCATCATTTCCTTACTTTAATTTTGATCATTGCCGCATTCCACCATCGATACATGCATTTTTTACGATTGTATACTCTATGTTTGACTCTTCATTCTTCTATCATTTTTCTATCATTTGAGCATTCTCATCGTCTATTTATTTATTTTCAGATTTTTTTTAACAATAAATAATATCCTCTGCTACCATGCTGTCAATATTGTACAATGCCATTATTGTCATGCCATGAAAAAAGCTTAAGGATCGTGTATACCCTATAAGATTATTTTGCTTACCCTATAAGATTATTTTTAAATGACAATTTGCGAGTAATACTTCAAAAGTCGATACATGCAGATACGGGCTCGACTATTTATGAATCGTTATTGTACTTTTAGGGATTCTCATCTATCTGAAATCAATAAATTAAACTTGGCCGCAATATCATACATAGCGCTGTCCTAATTTAACAAATTAATTATTAGTTAACGGATTCAAATTCGATTCTGAAGACGTACATCGTATGTAAGAATTTTGGACGAGTGCAATAAATTTTAGAAATTTGTATTTTTTGAAATATTCAAACAGTCGATCGATAAAACACTCTACCCGCATTAAAACTTAAATATGGTATGCCAATGATTATTTGTCTATTTAATTTAGTCTAGCAATTGCAATTACAAGTACTACCGAATAATTATGACTTAATTAATGAGTTACACATATTATTATTTAAGAAATAAACATTCAATAAAATGAGTAAAAAATTTTTTGTTGACAAAAGAATAAATTATAACTGTTATTAAAGAAAAATAATAATCAATAATTAAGTATTTAGAATACTTAAATATGTATTCATAACATAAGTAAACTTACGAATACAAATTACAAATCCCTGGTAATTCCAATGAAATCTGCAAATCTTGAATGCTCCGAATATTATATGTAGAAAATATAAATTTTAGCCTTCAGGGACTACTTAAACATAAAATTTACCATCCTAATTAACGAGTACGTTATATTTAATATTAAATAGCACGTAGATTTCAAAATTGTTTTCTTTTATCGTAGATTCAATAGTCGTCGATTGAAATACCAATTATAATATATGTGTACCTTTGTGTGATTTTATGTGTATGTTCCCGAAGAATAGATCATAACGGTGATTAGTTTAGCCAAAAAAGGATTAATTGTTTTCGAGGACTCGGCAGTACATCGGATTCGTGATTAACGGGTCAACACTTATGCGTGAGATGAAAACCGCGACCGATTCCCGAACAATGTCGTAACACCGAACTCAAGGAAATAATCACGATGCTTGTAGCAGGCGCTTCTTTTTATAGAACTCGTAACGACCCACTGAAAATATACATAGTTAAACGACTACATTAGGCTTCGAAGAACTTCTATATCGGAAACCATGTAACTTGCTAAAATGATGTCGATCCCTATGACAATTACCTAACTAAACCGAATTTTATTTCCTTTTTTTTATTATATTCAATAAATTTTATAAAATGGCTTACATCATAATCATCTGAATTCACATATCCTTGCATCTTTTTTTAACCATTGATTCATATAATCCTTATGATTAAATAAGTTTCACAAATTTCATGAATTTTATCGCTAATAATTTTTCAACCACGTGAAACTTCGTATTAAAACTTATAGATAATTTGATTAATGTGACATACAAAAAATTATTTTTTACTTTGATTTAGTACCATAATTTTGATAAATATACTTTATCATCAATGAAAAATAATACTTTATTAAAGCTTTTATTCGAACCGCGGATTTTATAAGTGCATTATATGGACACTCTACCGTGTATTTAATTCGTTTCGAATTTATTCACATTTAATAAGTTTTATAGGTTCGTATGAATGCTAATTCTATAATTAAACATATTAAGTTAAAATTTACGTTAATAATGCAATGCTTACTGATTCCACTAATAATATGTACTCATGATTATCTGAACCAAATTTTAGCTTTCTGAAGATACAAAATATTATATATTTTAACATAAGATTTCACCTATTATTATTTAATATATGTGAGTTAATAATTATATTATTAAAAAATTATATTAGGCTAATATAATAGCACGATATACGGATAAATACACTATGCTTAGTTAAATAGCTAAAGATACATGTGTACACTTTGAATTAAAACAATACAGTATTTTTATAATGCTTTCTTTCGTAGGAAATATGTTATAACCTAATCCATGAAAAAATAGAAGAAACTCTTATTTATCGGTTAATAAATTATAACGAACGATTGTATAAGAATTAGTTATAAAATAAATCTATTAGAGGAAATTTTTATGAGTTTATAAAAAAAAATAAAAAGGATAAATTAATCTTTTTGTAGTCCAATTCAGCACTTACTGAAATACTTCCATGAAGGAGAATAACGAATATGTTCGAACCCAGCGAACTTCGCTTGAGAACACTTTTCCCCTTGCTGAAGTTTCACATACTTATTATCAGATGTTTTCTTCACTTATCTGCATGTTAAACGTTATTCAACTCTCTCATTCGCCCTCGATAACATGTCCGCAATCCGTGAAAAATCATTATAATAAGCCCTCGGATCTGAAATTTCTATTATTACGCAGTGAATACACTGATAATTCGGTGATTTTTCTTTCACTTGCAGGTAAAAAACGGTCAGTCCAATCTTTCAATTAATTGCACGAGAGCTGATGTAATATTCGCCATGAACAAAAACTTTGAGAAGCAAAGGTAATCGTCAATTTTCATCAAATAGATACAGTTGTAGCTACTTGTTGCGAGAAATAATTCAATCGATAAAATTCAAAAGCAAGTACCTTTTTATTGCATTAACATGTGGAAAGGGTCGACAAGTCACAGTAACAACTCAAACCTTCATGAGAGTCTTATATCGACGTATCTCAGTACGTGTATTGAGCAAATGCAGTAGATCCACTCATTAACCAACTTTCTGGAAACTTATCAATGGCAATACTATTTAAAAAAAAAGAACGAATAATTATACTAATAGTAAGATATTTTGTCTTTATTAATATTCAGAATTTATATAAATTACTGTTACTAGAGTTCTGAAATATATAATTAAAAGTTTTCTATCCATCTTCAAAATATTAAATGAAAATTATTCCAATCTAATCTGCATTTTGTAACATGTCACAATATAGTTTAAAAAGTCAATTGGCATGTCGCATATATTTACATAGAGGAATATTCTTAGTTTAATAAAAATAATATAGAATAAGGTATCATTGATTGTTTTTAACTAAGAACATATAAAATTTATGAGAAATATAATTACATTTGATTTTAATTTGAACTAATCACTGCTTAAAGTTTACTTTACTTGTTTTGAAGCCATAATTTCACTTGAAACGGAATGTGTGAGAAATATTTTATTTAATTCTTATTACTATTTTATCTTTATTATAAAAACTATTATGTCACTTAGTCGATCAAAATATTTAACACTGTATAGAAGCTCTTTAAAATCAGGAGAAAGCCTATAGAGCCAACGACCTTATGTAAAAACAATCGTTGATAGCCTTGCAGTCATCCCCACTTTGCCACTCCTCTTAAAAATTAAAGCGCTTACTTGATCGACCTTGGACTTAGGATGTCGCTGAAGAACAGCAGCCGGAGCCTTGTATCTTCGGACTCAAAGCGCGCGGCCAAGAGTATCTCAAGCATGCGCAATGGGAAACCCGGATTTTTTACAAGCTCAAGTGGCGCGAGCTCTTCGACAAAGAACGAAGAGGCCGGTTTAAAGGAGGAGGATGGCAAGCAGCATTTAACAGCTTCTACTATGAAGCAGGAACCCGAGGATGAAGACAGCTACTATGAAGAGAAGGTTCTATTGCAGGATAATCCTAGGCCAGCGAGCAGTCGCTCTCCTGGAGCCGGCTCCTACCCTATGCTAACTCGAGTGCGCTCGCACTCGCGCAGCCTCCGGGCAATGGCCAATCCGAGCGCTGTCTGGGCCCATTTCGATCTCTGTTCTAACGATCCGCTGCGTGCTCAATGCAGGATATGTGGGGCCGTCGTCGTTAGAGGCGGAGCTAACCCACGTCAGTGCGGCACCACCAACCTACATCGACATCTCCGTGTGCATCATGGTGGTAGACTCATTGGCAGGAGATACCAGGGTAAATCGGATTCTAAACTTCCATAAATTCGCTCATCTACCCCTTTCATCTAATATTTGCGCCCTTCAATAGATTTTCAAATCCGAGTGATGTATTTCAAAATCATATTATATTTTCTATTCTCTTTCATTCTCTTACACTTTTATTTATTCTTACATACAACTTATGCTAGTGCTTAAAACTCAATTGAGAGGTGTATTCTACTGCACATTAAAAAATACATTTTAAAATTAAAATTCATCCTTCGGAGAAGATTAGCTAGATAATTATATTTTTTTATCTTATTTAAGGATAAATATGCGAAAAAAAGATATTTAATGTATTTAGCATATTTAATATAATCTAGAGTAGTTACATAATACATTAAAATATAAATATATTTCTTGATAAATATTGGATTAACATCCAATACAAAAATCCAATACATCGATCCAAAGTAAAGTCACGCCGAGTATATCTTATTTACTTTTTTTTTACTTTCATTTACATACAGTAATCTCAAACTTTGAATTTATCTAGTTCACGATTTTTATATTTATTATTAAAATATATTTATAAAATATTCATAAAAACACTTTTATAATAGAATGCCAATTGCGTATATTCTGTCGATAACTAAGATTTTTTACAAAGAAAAATATTAAATTTAAATTAAATCATTTTTTAAAACATCACTTTTTATAATAATATTAAATAAATTTATACCTACTAAATAACGAAAATAATATAAACAAATTTAAAAGTATGAATTATAATTTGTTAATAATTTTTAATTAATAACTTGGAATAATCGACATAGAATAACTTGGAAAATCACAGAATTTTTTAAAATTGACTAATCAACATTAATCAAGGCGATTGTGGCAACTTATTCAGATTACTTTTAATTAACACCAATATTTCGTTGCTATCAGAGATAGCCTATTGTACAAAATTTGAAACATCACAAAAATTAAAAATATTTTTATTTAACTTTTACTTAATTTGAACTTAATTCTTAATGACATGCGTTATGTGAAATCATCAATGGAATCTTCATTCTTAATATAATTTTTACTATTATTTTCTGAGATTTTTCATGCTTAACAATCTTTTCAAAGCTAGCGCTTAAATCTGTTCACATAATTATATCGGGCGCCAAAAATGAGAAAAATTTTATTTCAACTCAAAAACACTTTTTCTTGTTCTACAAATAACATATATTCTTTCAAATAATCAATACATAAATAAAGCCTTAAAAATCCTAATTTTTTATTTTCTAAGTTAATCAACATGCATATAATATGAGCTTGTGCAATCTCTCCGTTGACGATAAAAATTACTCTCACAAAATACATTTAAATATAATATAAAAGGCGTAACAAAGTTGAGTAATCAATGAAATATCTATTTATGTTATTAAAAAATTTTATTTCTATCGCTTTAATTATATTTAAAATAATTTGAATACTTTACTGTGTCATTCTTACATAAATAAACTTCAATTATTTTAAAATCACACTAATGGATTAATGTATTCTATCCAACTTTTGAATAATCATAGTTTTATAGTATTGATTGTATATTGATACTGTTGCTAATACTTTAATTAATAAATTTAATAGATAAATTTTTTTCAAATATTTTCATTAACCGTGTTTTGCATCAAAAGTCTAGTATTAAAGATAACAACAGTACTATTAATTAGGCAATTATTAATTAAGTATAAAAATAAAATCAACCTTTATTTTTCAGTTGTATATACGAATTTATCTTTAATTAAAATATATTTTTGTTAGAATGCTAATTTTATCTAAATAATATAAATTTAACAATATATTATCTATAAACAAGATAATTTAGTCTATACATGTACATATGGAAGAAATTATAGGTATTGATATAAATATACACGTAATATCATATAACTGTAATTTATCTATATAAATGTATTCCTAGATAAAAGACTATTATATTTTATTTTATCTAGGAATCGTTTATTAATTTTATATCAATTTCAATTTTCTATTTTGTATTCGATACATGCTTATAAATATTTTATAAGATACGTTTTGAAATTAATTTATCACAAGTTTTCGGTGATATAATTAAGAAGTAAAGAAAAAATGACAAGTATGTATATGTTAAATTTCTATTATGTAATATACGATATCGACTATATAATAGCCGGACTAGCACAAATACATCGTGATTATATATCGAATTTATTATCTTTTTTTTAAGTAAGCAAATGATAATATAATATTTTTTAATTTTTTCTCCTATTGAAGAGTAGTTAATATTAGACATAGTATAAAATAAATATATAAATACATATAGAAAACTAAATTCTTTTACTCTGAAAGGAATTAAAATTCGTTTAAAATCAATGCATCTTTCTTGAAAAAACAACTGTCCGATCCAATACCCGAAATGCTTTCTTTCAACATCCTTTTCTAGCCAATTCCGAAACAACGTGAAAATCTAGATGCGCGTGTTGAGAGCAGCTGTGAGTAAATCTGAAATTAATGAACATATGTTTGCATTACAGTGATGAGTGATTTCGGTAAGCGAGAACAGGAACAAACGCATTCATCTAAAGCTCTAAGGCTCGCCACACAAAATCTCGTACGCCAGCTGCGCAACATCGCACCGGCTCCTCTTGTCCAACAGCAACAGCGACAACAACAACAGCAGCAACAACAACAGCAACAACAGCAGCAGCAACAGCAGCAGCAACAACAGAGGTCCACCAAGGCACTTGTGCTGAAGGCAATACCGCTGAAAGTCAAGCAAATTGCGCCCACAAGCATTAAAATGCCAGTACGTCAAAGCGTACAAAACGTACAACAAGGACTACCACAAGCTATCTTGCCCCAACAATCTACCGAAGTGAGTATTTTATAAATTTACGAAGATATTATTAATTCTCAATTCAAATTACAATTCTACTTCTTTTCTTATGTTTCTTATGTGTCACGTCTTATTTAAAATAACAGAGAAATATATATACTTTTATTACATTTTATTATCCACCGTGAAATATTTAAAATAAAAAAAGACGTTTTATTTATAATGTTGTATATGGAATGAGTATAAATATAGTAATCATACATATTTTGCCGATAAGATCGATAAGAAATAATTTTAAAATGGATACAATTTAAATAATAAATAATAAAAGTCTATTTAAAACTCACACCCCTGCCTAAAAATATTCATAGAAATTTTTTGAAAACAGGTTTGCCTCAGGTGGAACAGTTACCATAGCAACATGCAGCTCAGTTTTCCATCCCTATTAGATAGCGAGCAGTTTGTCGACGTGACGCTAGCTTGCGAAGGTCGTTCTCTCAAATGTCATAAGATGATCTTATCCTCGTGCAGTGACTATTTAGCCCAGCTCCTGCGTGAAAATCCTTGTCAGCATCCAATAATTCTCATGAAAGATCTCAAATTTTGGGAGGTTGAAGCTCTAGTCAAATTTATGTATCGAGGAGAAGTTAACGTAGCTCATGACAAGCTTCCGCAATTGCTGAATGCCGCCGAGGCATTACAAGTCAAAGGCTTGGCCGGACCGAGTAATTCGCAAGTACGAATTTAAATTTATATTGTAATAATAAAAATTTAAAAGAAGTTGAATAAGGGCTTATACTAAACGTAATATTTATTGAAAGAAAAAATTATAAATATAAAATTAGAAATTTTATATTTATAATAAAGAATTTTTTATAAAATATTCAATTGCGTTATAATAATTTGAATTATCAGTTTTAAAAATTATTTATATGATAAATTGCTAATAAAGCAATTTAGTTTATTTTATTTTGTTAATATTTAAACGTAATTACTTTTCATTTATACAAATAGCAATACGTACGAACAATTAATTTTACTTGCACACTTTCATTTTAAGAAATTTTTAAATATTATCTAATTCATTATTATTCAATTTACTGTACTTCATTCATTAATATCCTGCATAATAAAGATAAGTTATTTTTAAAAAACTGTAACATTCAATTATAATAGAATTTACAAAAGTACTTAAAAAATGTTAATGCTAATATTAATGATTTAAATCTTTGTATATTAAATTTCAGAATCCAAAACCACCTCTACTTATACCACAGACAAAGAATCTAGTTCCTCACCAATTAATGAATCGCATCAGCAACGAAACCAAAGACAAACCATCAGCTTCAACCAATCATACCAGCAGCTCTGCGTCTCATCTCATTAATCCAAAGCGAGGCCAAAAACGCCGGAATCTACCCTCACAAGTACCGGAAGCCCATCCTTTTACTAAAATCCGTCTCCAACGACCTTCAACAACCGAGGATCAACGCCATAGATCTTGCTCGCCCACTGTTAAGGTTGAACCGCTTGATATCCCACTCAGCCCATCCGAAGCAATCTACCATGACAATGAGGAAGAGGACAGCTGCTCAACCCCACCGAATTTCGAGACTTTCATCGGGATAAATGAAGAAGACGACCCTGGTGGGCAGGATATCGAATTCGCCGATGTCAGCTCCGATATGGGTAAATCATTATTTCTATGTGGCGTCAGCATTGAGAATATTCTATTATTATATACTACTTCTTTACAAGTAATTTAGCAAATAATGATTAAAGACAAAAAGTAAAAGAATTATATTTAATTTAATTAAATAATAGACATTTATATTGTATATGATTCAACACTTTTATTTCTTAAATAATGAGATAATACAAAAAATTACTAGAATACATAAAATCAATTTATGGTTCTACAATGTTGACAGCTTACTTTATAACTCGGAAAAATTTTTTTTTGCTACATTTAACAGTTAATATTGACATTTTTCAGGTTGTACTTTAACCTTTAAACGTTAATTGAAGCCAATAGTTTCTTAAACAGAGTATGAAAAATTTATAGCAAATTTATGCCTTCGTTATGAGAAAAAAATTCAGTTTTTGTCGACCTACAAAATATCAATGCAAAGATTTTTAAAATTCACAAATTTAATATTATTTTTATAGTCGTTATTTTGCATAATATCCAGGAATATACTACTTTTAGAAACGAAAAAAGGGAATAAAAAATAAAATTACTTTTCGTAATATAAATTAACCATAAATTAAAAATATTGATGAACGCTATGAATATTGTTAAGAGATCTGTAAAATAATTAATTATTTTATTTATTTATAACTACATATAACTAATATAAAATTATTTTTAATAATATTTTAATATTATATATAGAATTAATTTTATAATATGAATTCCTTTATTAATTAAAGGATATTTATTAAAACAAGTTTATATTATCCGCCAAATAAAAATTTTAAATACTACCATGTAATTTTATTATTTTAATCAGATAATAACGACGATTCGAGAAACAATTTTAGTGAGCATATGGAGTTTGTTCCAACCGATTTCCTTGATCAAGAACAGGATATTGTTGAAGATCCAGAAGATCAAACAAATTGCAGCAGCATGCAGTATACGGATGATGATTCTAAGCATAACAACGATGAGGATGAAGAAGAGGAAGAAGACGAGGAAGAGGAGGAAGAAGATGAAGATGATGAAGAAGAGGAAAATGAGAGTGGAGATAAAAGTCAAAATGAGTCGAGGCCCAATCGTATAAAGATCGATGAAACATAATAAGGAGCTATTTTGAACTTAGGATCGTTGTCAATCTGTGTTATACATATATATATATATATACATATATATATATATATATATATATATATATATACATATGTATTTTGTTTTTAATGAGTCTGAAATATAATGTAATTGAGTCATAAGAATAGACATGATTCGCTTAGGAAAAGTATTAAAAAACGATAATTTTTTATTTAAAAACCGCTTGAAAATTGTTGTTTATTATACGTTTATACTTTGTTTCCTATGTAAGAATTAATATTTTTGCATTTGATATTATTATGTTACGTAAAGCAAATCATTCAACATATTAATTTTTCACAAGATTTTACTAATGTCTCCAATAGCTTCTGTATAATTTATTTATTAAAGATAGTTTTCGTGAACATCGTATTTTTATATTTTTGATCTTTTTAATAAATATTATATTAACTTGTATGTTTACCAAATTATATTGTCCAAACATTTAAAATGGTGATTTCTTTTCTTATTATAATTACTAAATGTACATAGGAATAATAAGTAGTATACCATAGTTTATTCTAAAGCAAGTTTATATTTGAATAAGGTCAAATGCCATAATGTTACTTTGAGATCTTTGTATCAGCTAGAATTTGCATATTCATTCTTTTAATATTATAATTTCGTCTTTACTGTCATCAATGTGCAGAAAATAGTAAATAGTCTGAATAAATTAGTTTTATAAATATAAAATTTATTCGCTTTAATTGTATAATATTATTTTATGCAGATGCCAAATTTCATCTTTCCAATAACTAGTGTAAGCATGTTTAATGAGAGTTGAATATTTACTTAAACTTGATTTAACACAAAGCTTCTCATAGATGTGGTTTTTTTTTAATATTCTTGTTTATATATACTTTCGCAGCTTTAAATAAGTATCAAAATCATAAATATATCAGCAAGTGGTATTATATATTATATATTTGTTTGTTATAATTTAATACTTTTTAAATATGATTTTACAATAATTTTTTTACTTAGGAATATAAGAAGTTATTTCAAATAAATTACCAGCTCTATATTATACTTGTGTGCCATTTGTAGTGAATTTTATTTTAAGTTTAAATTTTTGCATTTCATTAATAAGTTTGTGATAGTTTTAATAGAAAGTAATATCTGTTAAACTTAATTGAATGCAGGGCTGTAGATTAAAGTGTTACATTTTATACTGTACGAAAACTCGACTATTTATATACATGCTGTTTGTGTATACAGTTGAGAGAATATGTAACAGACTATTCTCAACGTTAAATCATATACAATAACCAAATCTATCTTCAAATTATTATTATTGTAATGAGAAACATTTTAAGATTCTCTTCTCAGAATTACAGTTACGTATTTATGAACAATCTAAAATATATATAATGAATGATAGCTCGCTTATGAAATTTATAAAATCACCAAAAGTTAAGATCCTCATGTATGAAATATCTTATAAATAAAGAATTAAAAAATTTTTAGTTGTTTTTTACAATTGTATTTTTAATAGTAATTGATTTAATCATAAAAATAAAATAGAAACGCTAAGTAGAAGATTTATATCCATACAAAAATTACATTTAGTTGCACTAACTAAATGTATCAATAATATTCATTTGTATTATTAAACTGTTATAAATATAATGTTAAGCAGTGCAATTATATTTATTAAATTATGAAAATTTAATCAAAATTTGATATAAGGATTAATTTAAATTTAAATTGACAAGGATTGATTTAGAATTGAATACATAGCAAACAATTTATTTAATTTATCTTGTTTTGTAACATAGAAGGGAAATAACATATTCATGCATTTATTATATAATGCAATAAGTGTAAGAAAATTAATATGTAAGATTTATTTATTAATAATAAAATACTTCAAATTGAGATAAATTTAATATTGTTCAATCGATTTAAATTAATTCGAAATGTTTTTGTTTATAATAATTCAATTGATAAGAAATACATAAATTAATTTAAGATAATATATAAATTTTTATATAAAAAATATCGTATAGATAATTAAAATAACTAAAAATATTATTGTTAAGCAACTGAATACTTCAAAAGCTTTAAAAAAAACATTATTTATATGATTATTTAAATTATTTAAATAGCAGCATTATAATAATAATTTGCGTAATTATTCGAATGTATACATGAAAATATTATTTTATTTAATTCATATTTTCATCTTATAACTTATAACCTATTAACTTTAAAAAATTATTTCAAAATAAACCAATTTATAATTAAATAACTAATGTATAAATACTTTGAATTTATAAGCTGCTGATTTATTTGAATACATAGCAAATTATTGTGATACGACTCAAACAACCTGAGTGTACTTCTATATAACCATTATTCTTCTAGTATACTCAAGAAATACTCATTTAAAATGTGAATAACAACCTAGTTTGTATCCTCCAAACATAAAGAAAAGAAGATGGAAGGATAATCAGGAGCAGAAACTTAGCCCAATTGTATATTTAGTTTATTTTATATTATTCAAACATCAGCCTAGAATCACTAAATAAATAAGACAAGGACACGAAAGAATATTTGAAACATAATGTTCTCCCACACAGCACTTTTTTCATATATCTCTCTCTCTCTTTGTTTCTGTCTTTCTCCCTCTCATAATGTTATTTGTGCATTTGTATGCTATTTTATTTCCCCAGCATTTTGAATCTTGCAATACGTTAACAGCATATATAAACATTTTTTTTAGATAGCTCACGTACATAACAGTAACAGTAATTCGTAAAAAAAAAACAATAATTCGTAAAATGAATTCAATAACATTTTATATGCAAATTTTATTAATAAACTATTACAATATATTGAATTACTCATTAAAAAATACTTATTTGATCAATTTTATGATAACAATCATTTATTGTTGACATAATTATTGTTGTAAATCTTTTTTTTAAGAAAGTCAAATAAAGGAATATTTTGAAACGATTGATCGATCTAACTGCTTCCGAAACACAATTCTTCATTGTATAATTAATCATTATTTTAATAAATAATAATTATATTAATTAAATTATACGCATTATCATTATAAAGCATTAATAATAAGATCATAATTATAATCAAAGTTATGATTGTTTACTTTTATTTACATTATAATTAATTTAAGAATTAAAATTTTTCTGATAGATAATCCAATCTTCAGTATTTGAATACAAAATGTTAAAAAAATTTAAATGCCGAATTTAATTATAAATTTAAACTTCAGTGTATTAGAAAGTATAAATTGTACTTCAATACAATAATAATTTGTAATCTTAGTAACGTTAAAATGAATAATTTCTAAAGAATTTATTAACCTGTAATTATTATTTGTAATAGAAAAACATCCTTGAATGTTGAATTTTTTTTAACTTTCAATTCATAAATTATTTCCATACACTCATTAATTGACCATTTCATATTTAAAATTATTATATACTTGCAAACTTTAGAATTTTTATCTTTCCAATTTTAGAATTTTTATTCAAAAATCCAATTACTTAATGAATGGATCGATTATATAAATTTCGTTGAAAAAATATTAAGCCTGTGCACTTTTATAAATAATTATAAACAAGCAGCTATAAAACAAAATTTCCCTGAAGGCTTGAATGACGTAAATGTTTGCCATTAAGAAATATCAGAAGGAATCAAAAGATCATAATACAGATGGACATTAGTCAGCTCGGAGCAAGCGCAAAAGTAAAAAATAAAAAAATGGTATTGCCATCCAAAGAGAGGTTATTGATCACGGGCTAAGAGTTTCTAGGAGCAGCGAACCTTCACGTCCTTCTCCGTCGCTTGCTGACAACCACCGAGTAACAATGTTAAAGCCAACTTTTGCTTCTCCACTTTGTAATCGTCTTAAAATATTCTGATTTTAGATAATGAATATTAAATTCTATTTTCTATTTTAATAACAAGAAATTAAGATCGCTTCTTGAAATAACTTTATTTCGAATGTATCATTTAGAATCTAAGATATTTTATTTTCTCTATTATTTAAATGCTTATCGTTAATAACCATTAAATTCTGCACGATAATTGATTTTTCAATTTATTTATTTAATTCTTGTTTATAATAATTGTTAAAAGTAAATTGCATGCTTTTTAGATTAATCAACATCAATTATTTTTTATAACAAATTCTATTTTCATTTTAATTTCAAAATTTTATTGTTCAATATCATATTCCATAGTTATATGTAGAAACTTGTTTTATATTTACTTAAATCATAAATGACTTCAATACCTTTTAAATTTTTAAATTACTTAAACTTTTTATTTTAAATCGAATAAATGTTATTATTTAATACAATAATTGTAAATTATTGAATTTTTAACGAAATAATAAGAATTGTATAAAAATATAAATGTCTAGCAATTTAAATAACGATATAAAATTTTATTTACAATGTATATATTCATATATAATATCAAGCCTAAATATAATAATGAATAAATAAATGATAATTAATATAAAAATAAATCATATTAGTGTATTATATGCTGATTATTTTTATTGATACTAATATTTTAATTAGTTATCTTTTAATTATAGTCGGATAATTTATATTTTTCACCTTAAAAAGTAGATTTTATATTCATATAATTATATTCATATAATTTATTAAAATAATTGAAAGTGATATGAATCTATATATAATAAAATATATTACTTTTAATATAAAATTTTTAATACCGTTAATACATTTAAGTATTATATTTTCCTTAACAATATATTTTTATAAATGTCAATGAAAAAGCTAAAAACTGATTCTTAAAATTAAATGAAATTTACATATAACTCTCCTAATAATATTGTATATTGCATAGATATAAATATTATATATTTTCAAATTGATATGTTTATTTTTCAATCAAATTTGATTTTCATCGTTCGTAAACTTGAGTTTTAATAGCTTAATTATATAAAAATGACACTATGATTAGAAATGTCTTCTCTATTTTGATTCTTCTATAAAAATATGTTATAGTATGGTTATAAGATTAAATAGTGATATAACGCAATATGTTTATAAAGCTAAATAAAAAGATAACTGAAGTAAGTATTATTAATTTAAAAGAAAATTGAATATTACAGATTAATTACAATTGTGTAAGATAAATGATGTGAGATTAAAATAAAAAATTAAATAAAAAATTTTCGAAAACAGCTAGGACAATCGGTTAAATATTTACTAATGAAATAAAAACTATAGTCATAGTTATTACAATAATATCAAGTTAGAGTATTGTTAGTGGGCGTCGATAATTGATAATATAATAGAAATAAATTGATAAAAAGTGATAAAAAATAAATAAGCAAGTAATGTAAAACGGGCAGCAACTTCTGTCATAATCAGATAATTTCTGGAAAATATGTGAGCTGCGACACCCTCACCTCAATTGGCCATGATTATCTGCAATTCGTCAAAATCTATCCCGGCGAGTGTCGAAAAGGTAAAGACGGACGAATGTGGAGCAAAATTGCAAGGTAGGCTAACAGCTAGCTATAACAGGAGGAAGCTAGTGGGGGCTCAAGGAGGAGATAACGACGGCAGCGGCGGCAGCAACGGCGCGAACAGGAAGCGCTGAAATACTGATGGCGAGTCTGAGAGAGAAAGAGAGAGAGAGAGAGAGAGAGAGAGAGAGAGAGAGAGAGAGCGAAGCGAGCCAATTGTCAAATTCAAGGCTCGATTCCTTGTACACACAAAAGAGGGAAGGGCGTCATTCTGTTTTATCTCGAGTGTCTTCCCTCCAAGCCGCAACCTCACGAGGTGTGGCTATTATTAAAAATTACGCCTGCCTGACTGGTATCTCCTCAGTCGTCAACGCGACTCTCTCACATAAACATACTAAGCAGGTTAGAAACTATTGTACGTATGCTACGCTATGTATAATTGGAACTGTGGGTTCCCCATTCTGTCTCTCTCTCTGTCTCTCTCACTATTTCGATTGCATTCATACTTTCAGGCTTCAACTATTGTTTATTATATTTCGCCCCTAAAAATTAAAGATAGGCGACAATTATTCTGAACAAAGCCACACATTGCATGTGATATATGTAGGCAAATTTATTTATTTACAGTTTACTCTACATTTAGTCTGCTATATTTGTTTACTAAGATAACAAATCTAGTAACTCGCCTTTTCATTAGAACGACCCGGGAATAGCTTTCTCTCTGTCTTTCTTTACGTCTCTTCCCCCTTATGCACGTAAGCGTGCATAGTCGTATACACACCAGATATACACACATGCACTCTCTCTCTCTCTCTCTCATTCTGTCGCTATTCGATGTGAACTAAACACAATCGATCGAAGAGGCCTTTTGAACTGGTGTTGACTTTCTTCATCTTACACATCTATTTGTCTATCATTTATCACTTTACTTTCCAAATTTTTATATGAAATATTGTTTTATGCCCCTTTAATACTTATTGATATTCTTTGGTATCTTCTCTCTTGTATTGTAATGGCAAAGTTTAATATTGTTTTTAAATACCGTTCTAAGAAAATCACTTTACCTTTCCATATTTTATATAGTATCAATCAGTATTTATATGCACACTTAGGATTCAATATTTTTGATGCATTATAGAATTAATATTTAAACTTAATCAATCTATCTTTCTTACCTAATAATCTGTTTTATATGAACAAATTAATTAGTGAAGGAATATTATAACAGGATTCTTTATTCAATTTTATAAAGTATAATTACAAATTTATTAAAGTAATATATATTATTTTTAGGATGAATCGTACTATGAGTGAAAAAGAAGAATTAGTGAAGAAATCGTTATTCAGTTTCGTTAGGAAGCAAGTACCAACTGCTCAATTGAAGTAAATAATTTATTTATATATTTAAACAAATAGGCTAATTTTATAAATGTAAATAAAATTAAATATATACTTAAAACTTCTAAGTCATATAAATCAATGTTATTGTAAACAAAAAAAGTTATATTATATATTTAATAAATAACAAAAAATGCTTTATTGACATTCTTATGAAAATATATGCTAAATATACCATGTATTAATACTGTGCCCAAAATACTAATAAATTTATTTATTTTTATTTATTTTAAATAAATAATATATTTTAAAATAGAATTGTATTCATTTCAGATATTACAGTTTAATATATTAACATATTAATTGAAACACTTAATTCGTATCTTATACTGTTGTATCCTACAGACAAAATGAGAAGTAATCTAAGAGACTGTTATTAAATACATACATTAAAATATCATTTCACTTAAAAAATATTATAATGAGAATAAAATTTTTAATACGTAAGTTAATTCAATAATTTCAATAACTAATTATAATAATTTGTTTTGAAGCTTAATAGATGATATTGTTCTGGGGTATGTGGTGAGTATGGTAGAAGAAAGTGCTTTAGAAGATGAATTAGATGTTGAAGGAGTTAGTGAAATGGTTTCAGCTTGCCTTCCTGAATTTTCATCAATTAAAAAAGAAGCTGTATCTAAATGGCTATTTGATATTGAAAATCAGCTACGCGAAGATAGTAAAGAGAACAATAGAAGTGCTCAGCAACACGATCCACTAAGTTGTTTAAGTTTAGCAGCATTGTTACCACCTGAACCTCAACAAACTACAAGAGTTCATCATTTATCAGAAACAAGTGATGCTGGTAGTGATTCCAGTGGAGAATATTTTACTGAGGTGAGCCACTTACTATTTAATCAGCAATTTATCTATATAAAAATATATGATAATATATCATTTCTTATTCAACATTCAAATTAAATTTATTACTAAACGCATGTTATAATTTATATATAATCTACACAAATAATGTAAACAACTTTATAAAAATTATTAGATTAACTGATTATAAATGATATATTTTAATTAAAAAAAAATTTTGAATTTAAAAAAGATCTGACAATTTTGAATAATATTGCTTTAATGAAATTTATATTTCTAATTCAAATATTTGGCAAATTTATTTTGACTTTAATAAAATAGAAATTTTACAAAATATTTAAAATGTTTATACTATAAATTGTTACTTTCTATTATATTTAAAATATAATATTAATATAATATAATATTATATTCAATAATAAGCTATGAATAATAAAAAATTTAAGCATGAAATAAATAACATTAAAATTTCTTAACATTTTAAGAAATTAATTTAAGAAATTAACCTGTAGAATTATCTATTATCTTATTTTGTAATATAAATGTTAATTGTAAAATATAAAATTTTTCTTTAAATTAATAAGAAGAATATTGTTATAAAAATTTTAATTTACTTAAAAATACAAAATTATATTATTAAATACTATTTGAAGCTTATCAAACTAGAACTTTTATATTTAAAATCAATTATTATAGGAGTCTTCCTGGGACCAAGTGGCACTTTTACAAGAGATGTTTCCAGGAGCAAGTTCTGCTGAAGCACGTCATTGTTTGGCTGTGGCCGGAGGTGATATTGCAAAAGCAGCTCAACTTGCCCTTCATAGGCGAGAAGCTGGACAAAGTATTGTTAGCAATCTTGCTTTTCTTACAGTAAGCAATTTATCAATATTTTAAAATTTTTTAACATGTCTTACATAAAAACAGACAACAACAAAATATTTATGATAGTTCTAATTAAGTAAATATTTGAATGAAATTTCAATATAATAAAATTATCTTTTAAATTAATCAAAGAATAGAAAGTGTTAGTTGTCATTTTAATCTCATTGAAATTAATCTCTTTTGTATAAATAATATTGCATGTTCATTCAATAATTTAACTTGAACTAAAAAAATTTAAATTAAGCAGAATAAAATGTTCAATAGATAAAATAATTAGCACACATTTTAAATAATGCATTGTATATGTAACTTAAATATGAAAGAAGATTACTTAACCTCCAATATAATTCTTCGGAATTTATCAAATTTTAATTGTGATAAAATATCATTGACAAAGAGTATTTGTTTTTACATATAAAGCTTTATAAATTTTATGATAAAAAAATATTTTTTATATGCTACCTATTTTTGTATCTATTTATATTCTATTTTTATATTGATGATATATCATGGCATATCATGAATTATACAGTTTCTGTATATTATATACAAAGAATTTATTTATTTAGACATCAGTGTATTGATAATCTAGGTAGCTATTTCATGTAAATTTATATATTTTCAATTATGTCAAGTAATTTTGTAATAATTTTTTATTTTAAATATTATTTTTAGTCCTCAGCATTTTAAAATGAAATAAAATATTTTGATATAAATATATTTGATTCAAGTATTTTAATTGATTACTATATCTTATATCTTGTTTCTTTGTATCATTAGGAATTTATAATTTATTAATATTTTCATTAAGTGTACATTCTACAAGTTAGAATAATTGTATAGATAAATTCTTATTAATTCTAGTTTAATACAATATTAGAATACAAAAAAATTTTGTAATTGTTAACGTTTTTTATATAGATTTACTTACATAATACAAATAATTTTTTTCTTATTTGATATTTTTTTTTAATTTTTCTGAATAGATCAACCAAATAATAATTTGACCAACTCATGTAAAAATAAAATTCAATAGATTGGTAAATATTTATTAACATGAATATGTAATCAAAATAGATATTGATACTCCCTACTAGTCAATGATTATATTAAATTATCTTCTGTTATAAATGATACTTAACCGTGTATGTATTATACTTACCATATATATATGCAATAGGATTATGTTAGTATGTTGAAAGTTAGGAGTGTGAGAGATGCCAATATATAGAATTTTGATGATTTTGTAAAATATTTTAAATATATTTATAGCATGTTAATGTAATAGCAAATACAAAATATCATTGAAATTTATAATTTAAAAAAATATATAATTTTCAAAAACTTGGTTACATTAAAATTTGCTCATCAATAAATAATTAAAAAATCTAATATGTATATTCATTGCGTAAAACTAATAATAATTATATAAAATAATTATATACTATTAAACATAGTATTATAAAAATTATATTTAATCTTGATAATTTCTAGCCAAATTATAAAAATTTTTATATTTAATAAGTTTAATATATTTAATAGAAAATAACAAAGTTACATTCCATATTATAAACGTAAAAATATATATACACGCATACATTATGCACACATAAATATAAATGCACGTACGTACATTTGTAATTACATAAATTTTGTTATTTATAATAGTTTAAATTTATAAAAACAAATATTTTTTAACAATAATAATCCTTTTATTCTGTATTTGTAATATTATGTGAATGGCGTTATAAACTAGTAATTGTTAAATAACAGTGATTGAATTCGATAAAAAAAGATTTTTTAATTATGACTTTCTTTCCTTTTGAATTATGAGAAGATAAGATAATTATTTTAATTTTTAATAAAATACATTATTCACTCTATTGTGTGAAGTATTTTTATAAAATAAGTATGATTTCAACCTAATTTAAGCCTTAAATGAAAAACAGTTTTTTTATTTTATATTAATACATAGGCAGTTGAAACATAAGAAATAAAAGGAAGAATAGTTGTAGCTGTACCAATGAACAATTGATTTATTATGGCCTAACATATTTACAAGCTTATATAGCCAAACGAAAAAACATAAATGACGCGCTTTGTGTGCCCTTTAGCCAAACGGACGGAACAAAACACGCGTGAATGACGAGGAGCTGAAGGCTCGGATAATAAATCGATACAGCTACGTTGATCGGGACGATGACTCGCGGGAACATCGACCGGTCGCACCCAAAACCGAGCCGAAGAAACTTGTGCGGTACTTAGATAACAAGATCGTCTCGGTAAAAGGTGAACGGTATACGGAGGTGAAACGCGGTGGTGAAGACGAGGATGGCGAGGAGGTCGGTCGCAAACCCCGAGGTCACTGTCGCCTGTAACCAGTCACCCCGCCTCCACCCCCTGATCCACCTCCTGGAGGCGATTCTTTCAGCCAAGCCCGCC